CCCAACTTTGAAAAACGTTCCGCCGGTCCTGTATACTACACTATACCGTATATAGCTACTGAAATAGCCATATTCAATATTACATGTTGTACATAAACTGTGTCTAGTCATAGGGATATTATAATTTTCACGACTGCCTTGACTACCAAGGTTTATTTAAGAAATTTTGGTCTATAACATTCATCTCGATACACTATGAACTCTGTTTCAGCGAGGAGAAGGTCTGATCATTTGCCCTAAATGACCTAAAATAGTGCCCTCTATAATTTCTGCCTTAATTGTATGGGAAAAATATAATGCGGCCCGGAATACGCCCTCCATCTCCCACCTACAATTTTTAATGATATGCTGTCCTTTTTTAAAGTGTTTCTTTTGGAATATTAACTTTTCCTGGAAAATTTGCTTTTCCGTGCTTTAAAAACGAATATTATTTTATTCCAATAATATGTTATAAACATAGGCCTAGATATTATTAAGACCAGCCACCAGTTGAAAAATCTTGCTTGCAGGCGTCTTTGTAACGATTCCTTTTTATAATAAATTAAATTGCAATGTGATTAACTCAACAAGTTTCCAATCAAGCTGCAAATGAACTCATCCTTTGATAAAGCCAGAAAATTAACAATAAAATCAATACTTTACTTCTTTTTTTTAGTTTTAAGACTTACAGTTAGCTCATTACTTATTAACTCAGCACGTCTCTTGTGGTTTTTATTTTGTTTTTAATTTTCCGCCAAAATTACAAGAAGTTTCCAATCAAGCTGCAAATGAACTCATCCTTTGATAAAGCCAGAAAATTAACAATAAAATCAATACTTTACTTTTTTTTTTTAGTTTTAAGACTTACAATTAGCTATTTACTTATTAACTCAGCACGTCTCTTGTGGTTTTTATTTTGTTTTTAATTTTCCGCCAAAATTACAAGATAACAAGATATTGAGCAGTGGCGGATTCAAGAAGGGGGAAGTCGGACCATCCCTCCCCTCCCTTTTCAAAATTAAAAAAAAAAGAAAGAAAATTATATTCAAGTGTTTAGTCTGAGAGTGCAATTTCCAGGGGCGGATCCAGTGGGGGGAGCACGGATCACCCATCAATTAGTCATCATATCGTCGTTAGCCCATTGGTGACGGAATAACCAATCACATACAGTAATACTTTGATGCATTGTACCTTGACTGAACATGTAATAAATTCATTACAAATAAAAGATGCACTCACCTCACACGAATGTAAAAACGTCATATCAGCCGGATCACGGTCTCAAAGATGAGCAGCCGGACACGGCCAGAGATGCAGGTGATGAGGACTGCTAAGATTGTTTTAATATTTTATTATTTCTGCCGAATAAATTGTTCGTCTATTGGTAAGTTTTAACATAGGTCTACTTTTAAAAACAATACTATTAATTAATCAGATCGGGGAAAAAAATCAGCGTTAGATCATAAAGAGAATCTTTTACTAATATATTCTTAAATTAAGTAAAATTATTTAATGTAGTTAATTTGGAAATTGGTATATAACAAAAGTTTAATGTCAGTCATTTTTTCTGAAGGATAGAGACTGTATAAAGACTCTTTCATTGTTTAAACAATTTAATATTAATGTTATATTACAACTATTTCCTTGTTCTATTTCCAATGACGTTCCTACACACTCTCGATTGTCAGTGGCGTATGGAGTCTTGAAATGGGGGATAATGGGGAAGCGAAGTGGGAGAGGGGTGCTCGATTAAGTGAGGGGGTGCTAACTCGCAGGATAAGATGATATTTCACTACTTGAAAGTAATTCTTGCTTCGAGCATTTTCTGTGGGGTGGGGTGAGGGGGGCGACTGGTGAGCCAACCCCTTCCCCTCCCCACATTCTTAGATACGCCACTGTCGATGTCTGTATGATAACCTACCATTTTATTTCAGTAGATTGTGATATAAAGCACATAGGTAGTTGCTACCATGTTATCGATAGCGCGAATTCATGGAATGGACAAGTCAACGAATGCTTAGTTGAAAAAGACAGTCAGATTATAAAAATTGATTCTGTGGAGGAACAGGCGTTCATTACAGAAACAATTCAAACAAATCTCCAAGCAACCAACGTTTGGATCGGACTCACTGACCAATTTGTCGAAGGGGAATTTCGTTGGCAGGACAACACATCTATCGTAGCGTATGATGGCAAGTTAATAATAATAATAACAATAATGATAATAATAAATAATAATAATAATAATAATAATAATAATAATAACAATAATAATAATAATAATAATAATAATAATAATAATAATAATAATAATAATAATAATAATAATAATAATAATAATAATAATAACAGAAATATTGACATAGTTATACAAACCGCCTCAATATATTTATCTCTTTTGACTTAAATCAAAGACTTTGGTAGTGGCCAGCCAGATAATGGATGGAGATACGGCGAGGAAAATTGTGTGGAGATGATAGATGGCAATAACTGGAACGATTTATCATGCACAAGTTACAATAAAGGTCTTTGTGAACTAAGTAAGTGGACTGCACATGCGCACAAAAACATAAACCTGTATGCAGAAACAGATTTGGGGACTGACATTTCAAATTTCCTTATTAAAATAGACTTCGAAATTGTAGCAATGCTTCATTTCATGGATACTGTTTTTACTAATCACTATAATCAAAGATACTAGAAATACAAGATAGAGTTCTCCACACAAAAAAAGTGTTCCACTGTCTTCCACCGAAATGCATGGTGGGAATACGAAAAATGGGACGCCCCTACAACTGGATCTAAAAAAACTTGTGCTATAAGAGACAGCTATAGAGCATAGTCCTACTTCCATTCTGTGTCGATACCGATAATTTAATGTACTATTATCTAATATTATTATTATTATTATTATTATTATTATTATTATTATTATTATTATTATTATTATTATTATTATTTATTATGTAAAGGTACAAATTGTTTTGAATTTGTGTTTGAATACCGAATAATAAACGCAGGGTTTTTTTATGCTCCTTAGTTATTGCGTAATTATGCTAACAAACAGACAGAGAGTAAAAACATAAACACATAACTTCTTTGTCGGAGGTGCAATAAAATGAGGTTGTTTATCTAAAAACTAAAACAAAACAAAACAGTTAGTCTACATGTATTCAAAATGAATATACTACTAGAATAATCAAAAGTTAATTAGTTTATTCCTTTCTTCGATCAAGATTGCGATTTTCAAAGAAACAGAAGTTGTTATATACTTCTACCTGAGCTAAGGACGTGGGCTAGTCAGGTAGAAACATGTGCTGCTAACTTCATTGGAAACCTGTCAAATACGGAAACTGATGCGGAATTCCAGTTTTTGGCAAGTCGAATAAATCTTTCGGAACAGTTCTGGATCGGCTCCGACCATTCCATTGCTGCTAATGGTAATGATTCTGTCTATTTCAAGCACTGTGTTTCGTTATTTAGATCAATAATCAGGTCCATCAGCGATTTTTAATAGTGCATTATTGTGTTCTAGATTCGATATTAGGGATTAATAACCAACTGAGGTAAGACTATCCAATAGGTAGGAGAAATAAATTGTGTATACATATAATTTGTTTTCCTCTTTATTCCTATTCTTGGCAGTATCATCGTTAAATTCGTCAAATTCTACAGAGGACTGCTTTAGTATCAATAATCAACAACCAGAATCGATTGCATGCACAACATTACTACCAGCTGTTTGCGAAGTAGGTATGAATGATTTCATCATGTGTTGTTACCAGTGAACAATAGAAAACATTGATCCTTTTGATAAGCAATGTAAGGAGGTGGGGGCGTAATGCGGTCCCGGGGCATATGATGATGGAACGTCGGTCTTTCAAGATACGGCAACAGCAATTGACATTTTAAAAAGTTTAGTTTGGAACTTGGTACAATTTAAACTAATGCTTTAAAAGAAGACGAAAAGAAGATATTCTAAAATGAAGTCAAAGTCGAAATATACCGGACCCTGGGAGGGAGTTTTACATGGAGCGTCGAGACTACCCCAGTCCCCAATGTTTCTGCAAGCCAATTGACTTATTATCAAATATTTTTGACAGATTGTGAAGCTTATTTCAACAATAGCTGCTACTTCCCCAACCCCGAATACAGTTTTTGGTTAACGCATCAGTCGTGGTGCCAGAACAAAGGAACAAACTTGGTTGCTATCAACTCCGAAGAGGAGCAGCTTGCTATCGACGTCATCATTCTTTCATCGATAGGGTATAGTGGTGGGGTGTGGATTGGTTTGACAGACGAGGTCACAGAGGGCATATTCCGGTGGGCAGACGGCAGTATTTACAAGGGCTTCTCTAGTAGGTCTATAACAATCTTCGACGTACTGTACATATAATACATACACATAAATTGGATTAGGACAATAACTTCCAATCAGAATGAAGAATTGGTGCAAGACTAGTGTAACAATAGCCACTGCCTTAAAAACTAATAGGCCTACCATGCTATCAATGTTGCATGGTAGTATAATAATAATACTAATTATTATTATTATTTATTATTAATATTATTATTATTATCATTATTATTATTATATTATTATTAGCATTATTATTATTATTATCATTATTATTATTATTATCATTATTATTATTATTATTATTATTATTATTATTATTATTATTATTATTATTATATTATTTATTACAGTATGAATCACTCGATAGTAAGTATTGTATGAAGGAACACCTCCACTGGAAATAATCAAGTATATATGATGATATTAGTAAATATGAATATGATACTATTAAATATGTAATACTGTAAACCTACTTATCTTATTCCAGATTTTAGGGGCGTTGAGCCTAACAACGGCCACCAATATGGGCGATCGGAGGACTGCGTACTCATTGACACACTCAACGAATTCAAATGGTACGATATGCCGTGCGACCAAACTCATCCGACTATCTGTGAAAAAGGTACCGTAGCATATAGTTTATTGTTTATTAAAAGAAACTTTTTGATAAGGGCATTCAACATTTTTAGTAGATTCTATGGTTAGCTGTAGGCCTATATATAATCTCCAGGGAGGAAGAACTATACAGTGTTATCTGTAATCTTTGGTTGTATTTTTGGCTGTTAACTTACTATATATATACTGTCTCTTATATAAATGTAATATTTATTCTACAGTGCGCATATTACCTAAAGAAACTAGTCTTAGTGTACAAGATGTGTATAAGAGACAGTATATATACTTAGTAGAGCTATATATACAATAAAATATATACAAATAATGGATTATAATATAAACAAAAATGGATAAATTAATAATAACGGTGCTCAAATAGAAACAGGTTGTTACAATCGTATCAAGCATAGCATTATTCCGTGGAATAATGGGTATGACACTCGCCTTGATCGAGAGGTTGCAGGTTCGAATCCCTCCAGAGACACTTTTTTCATATAACTGAATAAAATGAACTGAAGGACTATTCCTGTTTAATAATAGGGCTATACTTGTTCCTATTAATTGATATGTTCAATTCCAATTAAACCATGATAAGATGTCGGCAAAATGATTATGTAAGCGATAGATTATTGGCGGTGCCATTGAACCAGCTTAATGCTAAGACTTATTTAACTAAAGTAAACAGGAAATAAAACATAGTAAGATTAATATAAGGTCCTATATATAATTAAAACAATTGTGGAATAGAAAATAAATTGCAGAAATATAAAGGTATATGTAGTTTAAATAATTTAACGCATGATATCATGATGACTATTAAATACAGTTTAGAAATCAATGAATACAATAAAATGTACATAAGTAGAAATAATATATAGCATAATATATAGTTAGATACTGTATTCATAGTGAATTATTGCGTATGAAGGCATAATCACATGTAGAGCCTAAGTCCTTATTTAGTCTAAATTAAATTGTCACTGAACTTATATTTTGTGGTCCAATCAACTAATTGTATTTTTAACTTGATTCTGATTGGTTAATACTATTTATTATTCTTTATGTATGTGTAAGATCTCCAAAATTTTCTCACTTTAACGTTGATAAAGTTATATGTAAGCTCTTTTTATTAACAGAAGATAAATCATTCCTGGAAAACAATAACATACTTGGACCGTGTCAAAGAAATAATACCTTGCAAGACATTGTAAGTACATTGTGTTTAAATAGAATCTGTCTACCAGTATTCTCCCACCTGTACTATATTAATTACATTTCCGCAAAACACATCGCACACATTGATATAATTTCTATTATTTAAAAAGCAGGTGCTCCAGATAAGGCCGAGCTTGTGCGGTGAGAGGGGCGCCCCCACTCCTAGACTTACGTAAGCAGCACACAATCACTAACCACACGTGAAAAAAGGCTAAGGCTGTAAAAACGCCGTCTATCGCGAATCATAAGTCCTCGATTGCCACTTTATTACAGTCCAGTACCCATCTCATTTACCTTTTATTGAAATATTATACTGAAAAGGTACTGAAATCAAGCATAGAACATCGCATTAATCAGTCAAAATCTAATAATTATCAAGATCGTTGCTGTCAATGTCTTGTTGAATTAGATCATCTACAAATTCCTTTATTAAATTAACATATTCTTTTGTGTCGTTAGTGAATATAAAACCACAGTGTCGTCTTCAAATCTGCGATAATGTTGATATTAAATTATGAGTGCTAAAGGAAAGGATTCTGCGAAGAGTGAAAAACAGTTCTCAAATCCGGAATATTATATTTATTATATAATATAGAGATCATATTCATGTTAGACTTCTTTTTTATACTTTGTTTATGTTTTTTTTGTGTGTGCCATAGAGCATATACATATTTATCTTAAATTACTACATTTTGTTTCAGGGAGTTTTTCATATAATAAGCTGTGCTTCAGAAATTCCCACTTTCCTTCTTTTCTCCTCTTTTGATTTAAATGTCATTATGGTGAATATAATAACAATACAGTATTGATTTGTAATGTTTATTAATATGTAATGAAATGTTTATGTTAATGTATGTTTAAAGAAAGAAAAAAAAGGAAATGAATGAATGAATGAATGAATGAACGAACGAACGAATGAATGAATGAATGAATGAATGAATGAATGAATGAATGAATGAATGAATGAATGAATGAATGAATAGCCCTACCCGGGTTTCTTGCTGTATATGCAAACACCTTAATCAGCTGGGCTGGTAGATTGATTGATTAATTGATTGATTGATTGATTGATTGATTGATTGATTGATTGATTGGCGGTCTGCGGGTGTTCGATCAATAATTGACTGATCGATCAATTGAAAATATAATGGCCTATAACAAAGCTAGTATTTCTCCTTCTGTGTAGGATTCATACACTGTTGCAGAATCGATGGAGTGTGTGGAAGCGATATTGCTCGACTGTGTATTTATCGATTCAGCAACCGACTTGCAAGAATGCTCCACTGATGGTGATTATTTAAGTACGTTAGCAAACCTTCTTAATTATTATTAAACCAACATTATATGTTTAAGATAGCCTTTTTTATGTTGTTTATTGTATCTTTATCTATACAAAGCCATATTGAAAACAGCTTGACAATCTCGTCTGTATGTGTTATCCTACCTAAATATGTTTAATAAATAAATAAATAAAATAAATATGAACATCAGTTATTGTAGAAAAATAATATAAATATTTTGGTTAAATAATATTCATAATGTAATTTTTAAAACGCTATTTTCAATAAGATCCATAATCATCAAAATCATCATCATCATCATCATCAATAATAATCATCATCGTCATCAACATCATCCTCAACATCATCATTATCATAACAGTATTACCATTCTTCTCATCACCATCCTTATTATTAGCATCATTATAAACCACCATCCCCAACAATATTGTTAATATATCATTATCAACACAACATCATCAATGTTATAATTTCCGTCATCATATATTAATATTGTTATTATTAATTATTATTATTTGTCGTTATTACTATCCCATTTATAAAGCCTACAACAATAATAATAATAATAATAATTATTATTATTATTGTTATTATTATTAATTTTCCTATTATTAGGCAAATTATTTATTATCGTTTATTATTAGTAATGTATGATTAGAAGACAGACTTAGACCCGTAATAAGGAGAAGTATAATTTTCAACATTTGTTATCTAACGAAAGAAATATTTTCTCGTTTATAGTTTGAAAAGAAAGCCAACATCCTGTTTATTTACATATACGAAGTAAACAATTTAATTAAATATTGATTTTGTTCAAGTTATTCTTTCCACATATTATCATGGTATACCACTTTATAAAAAAAAAAATCAAATATGTAATGTTTTTTTTTTTAATTGGATTATGAACTTTCTGCAGGTGGCCGTGTGGCGGTTTTATACAATTTGACAAGCCTGCAGAACTTCTCAGTATCCGCATCGGATAAACCGGTGACACTTTCTTTAAACGTTGTTGATGAAACCACAGGTGAGTCGATAATACATTCCATACAATCCTGCATTTTCAGCATTTTGAGAGGAATAAGAATAATTACAAAATCATATCATTTATTTTCTTTTGATAAAATAATTATATTAATAACTGAGCCTGTTATTTAAATTACAGTTCTCCCTCTAGGCCTAATTAAAGACGACTTCTGGGACTGAGGTTTCCATTAGCAGCTTTGGTCTCTAATTAAAGTATAAGACATTTTTAAATTTGGGACCACAAAAAAGTTGTCTTTAATTGAGGCGGTCTTTATTTGGAGGGGTGTGTAATTGTATTTAAAAAAAACATATAGTTTTAGAGTATCTTTAATAATTCACATAAGGAATCTATAAGTTAACACGATACACTCTTTTTTTCCTTCCGGCTTAAAGTTTTTTTTTCATTCTACGTGCATACATACACTCCCCCACTAGATAGCTTCTGAGAAAAAAATATACACTCTAGTTAAGAATTATCTCATGTTTTGAGCTAGCTCCCTCACTTAACCTTCGAGCCCCCACTTTAACCTTCGCTTTCCCATCAGCCTCCATGTCAATTATACACTCCTAGATACATCTCTCTGGCTGTAGCTTTACCTGCCCGGCTTCTCTGTTTTTATACCTCTTGGCATATATTCAGGTCACCAAGCATGGCATTACCTAAATACATTATACATAAGATACGTGGGTCTCATTATTAGGTTAGTCAATGGCAAACTAATTTTTCAATCGTCTATTTCTAATAACATTTACAACGAATAATAAAGCCCATTGATCTTATAAAATGATACTTTGTTAAAGGACGTATTGACAGAATTGATTGAAATGACAGAGCAGGTGTACAAAATAACTGACTTTAGGTAAACAATAACCAAAGAAAAAAAATCATATTTTTCATCACGCAGACTATTAGTTATAAGATAGTAGAGCTTGATGAAAAATGACAAAACGTAAATTTGACTAAGATGAGGAAGAGAGCCACACGTTTAAATGTGCTACAACGCTGAGATAGATTTATAGTCGTATTTTGTTACTTGACTTTTATTTCCAATTTGTATAAGAACCTACACTTCTATCAGCCAATTCTCTTTATTAACCTACATTAGTCTACCCTAACAATAGTGGTAGCAGTCAATATGATGTGTCTACCAAGAAATATGAATTAATCCATGCAAATATATCTCACTGTAATTGAAAGTGCAAAAACACATTACAATCTGCCCTGGTTGTAGGCTAAACAAGCCTCTAGCCAAAATAGAAAAAAAGATTGTAATTATCGAAGAACAAGAACTTAAATAATTTAATAACCTTCTAAATACTGAAATTTCTTAAACGACATACAACATATTAAAATATTTATTGATGGTAAAGAAGTTGACAGAGTAAAATGTCACAAATTTCTTGAGGTACCCATAAACGAACACGTAACTTTTAAAGAACATATCAGTGTTATCTCAAAAGATATCTCTATGTACATCGGAATACTATATATGATGAGACACTTCCTTCCATTTCATGCTTTACTTACTATCTCATAGATCAATTGTTGAACCAATTTTTAACTATTGCATCATCGTATGGGGCTGCACGTACAAATATCTTGATGAAATTAAACGTCTTCAAAGAAAAGCAATTCTAGTTATTATCTTCACAAACTATAGAGAGAGTGTATCGTCTGTTTTTCCGTAGGCATGGGCTCCTAAAGATCCATGATATCATCATAAATTATATCAAATTGGCGTTGCTATGTATTCCGTCACAAAAGAGCTTAATATTAGATTAGTATCTATATTTGAAAATTAAACTCATAAACACCATTATAACACAAGGGTTAAGGCTAAACTTTAATGTCATTATTCATACTTTTAAAAACACCCTACTGATCAAATACTAGAGTACTATACATTTTTTTCTACCGTTGTACTATATTCATGTTTTTATTCACCTTCGTCATTTTAAAAGAAAATTGACAGCTTTATAAATTTTTAAAAATGTCTTAACAAAGATATTTTATTCAATATTTCTATTTGTTTTAATACTTCATTTATGCTTTTATCAATTATTTTAATTTTAATTTTTATCTTTCTTAAGATTTTATCAATTTTATCTTTTTATTTCTGCATCTATTTTATCACAAATGTTATAATGTTATCATAAATTTTATGAACTTTATCATAAACTTTATGAATTTTATCATAAACTTTATGAATTTTATTTGTATTAATTTTATGAATTTTATTACAATAGTCTTACCTTTACTCCTTTAACTTTCTGCCACTGTTTTTGTCAAACAATTTAACAAAACCGGTTGTCCTGGAATACACCACCACCAAACCCGTTGAAATGTGTTCTTGGTCATTGGTTTGCTTGCTTTTTAAATTCTTCCTTTGATTTTATGTTAGGTTAGGTTAGGTTGTCTGGTGTAGTTGTGAATTTGTGTTTTTATATTATTTTATTGGTTAAAATTTTTTTTAAGAATGTCCTTTTCATCTTTATCTTATTTTTAGCATTTTAAAAATGTTATTTGTCAATTGACATTGATTTGATAATGAATAATTTATTATTACAGGTCCTATTATAATCACTGTAACTTATTGGAATTCTGATCAGACAGATAATGTCTCGATAGTAGATAATACAGATATAACAAATGGGTAAATATCAAGCCGTGTCATCAATTTAATTTGTCACTTGCCTAATAATTAACATAATAATTATTATTATAGTATTATGTCGAATATTTTCATACTAATGTTACTGATATTAATGTTACACCTGTCTCTTATACACATCTAGATGTGTATAAGAGACAGTATATATATGGATGAAGGGCGATGCCCGAAAACGTTTGCGTTTGGTAAATGCAAACATTCCAAACTCTCAATCTCAGATCCTCATCACCAGCAGAACTGGGTACGTACAGAATGGTAACTGACTTCCTCTCCATAAGTGTCTTTTCAATAAACAGAACAAGACTGCAAGCTGACGTCCAATTCACTATGCCGATTGTTGAGGAGGTAAATTTTGTAAACTTTGACCAAGCTTAATAATATATATTCATCATTTGTCGGGTGGTCGACGGAACTTTCCGCCGGGGCCATATTATGTTGCTCAAAACACAGATTTGAAGGAGACCGGCCGGCCGGCCTATTATATTTAATATTTGAATATTGCAAATTTAGATAAGCATAATCTTAAGGCGTTTTCCAGATTTCACAAACGATAATATATCTATCTCTAATAACCATACTTAACGTTATTTCGGTTTCAACTAATATTTAAACCCAATCTTTTTTTAGGTAAATATCTCGGAATCGCAACAAACATTGCATTGTGCATTTCTCGATCCAAACTACAATACTAGGTAAGATATTTTCATTGTTTTCCCTATATTAAACTTTACTGCACATAGGCCTATTACTTGTCCAATAACACTCAATTTCCTAGCTTAAAAGGTGAAAAACAGGGGTGACGCCAGTGGTGGCCAGGGCCAGGAGACCTAGCCCCCACCCCCCGTCGGAAAGAAGAAAACAATATAATGTATTTTTTACAGTAGACTCTAAAAACGCCCCTGGATTACTCCCCAGAGATATGTATCGAACCGACTACGCCCACGTACGTTCTCGTCGGGGTGTCGTCCCACCACCCCGGTCGGTGACATTGGATCCCAGTCGGGCAAATTCTGGGGCCGCCCCTGGTGAAATATAATTGTCTCCTCCAATTGTATAGTATTAGTTTGTGTCATCTTTATCTAAAACAAACATACATACAGGATAAACAATAAAAGGAAAGAAAAGGACTTCACATTTCGGCTTCCATTGTCTGTTTTAAACGTGATTTATAATTGTAAACTTTCTGACGATTAATTTTGCTAATTTAACCTTTATCATTATCATCTTTTTTCATTATCTCTCATTTCATATATGATTCTTTCTATTACTTCCATTATCAGCTACTTTATCATCCCTCAATCATCATCTGATCAATTTATCTCTGTCCTTTATGTTAGGGCCTACCATAGATTCCGTTATTATTTTTTTTTTTTTATGATACTATAACCCTTTTATTTGCAACCTTCACCATTAAACACATCACTTCCTAAACCGAAACACAATTACTCTTCATGTGGCAAGGAGCAGATTAAAAATGTATACAAAGTCGATAGAGATATACAGGCCTATAAAAGCCAGTACATCCAATAATGTGTTTTCAAAATATGTTATGTATTATCAACGATCCTTCATTGTAGGATCATGGTCAATACTAATTAACACCGTTTCCACACGCGACGTAATAACTCATTTCCTATGATCGGCCTACAACTCATATTTTTTCCAGTTTGTGGTCGTTTGAAGGGTGCGAAACTAATTGGAATACTCTTGATGGCGTTGTACATTGTACCTGTAACCATTTAACAAGTTTTGGAGCACTGATGCATAAGCCTACTTTCGATAAAGTGCCTAACGAGGTAACACAGGCCAGTATCTAGGTTAGGAGTGGGGGTGGGGTTAGACGCGATGCAGTAGCGGATTTAAGGGAGACCCAGCCGGCACAAGCCCCCTGAATTTGTCTAAATTATAACAAAAATTTGAGAAAAAAAAAGAAAATTATATTTAGATTTATGCATGAGTGTGCCATTTCATTTGGTGGTGGCCGTGGTTGTGGTGGCGGCGGTGGCGGTGGCAGTGCCGATGGTGATGGTGGTAGTAGGAGAGCAGTATTATTACTACTGCTGCTACTACTACTAATAGAGCTACAGTATTATTATTATTATTATTATTATTATTATTATTATTATTATTATTATTATTATTATTATTATAACACTAAGCTAGTAATAATAGGCGTAAGAATTATTATAATAGGCCTAAAATAATGATAATAATGTAATTTCATTGCACCATAGGAGCATGGATCTAAAAAATCTTCGGAGTCTATTTCAGACCATGAGAACCATTCGAGCTTTCATGAGAAGCTGTTATCGAAGTTAACCCTCATCGGTTTCGGGCTGTCTACCACCGCTCTTACTCTGACTGCTATCACATATGCATTTTTCAGGTATGTTATTAACTAGGCGTAGACCTAAAAAGAGATGGAGCATCCGACAACACACACTTAGAAATGAGGAGGTAAAATGTTTGATTGTAGAACCAAATTCATATATCATTTATACTGAGCCCGAAAAACCCACGATTCTTGTCAATGTACAGTAGAACGAAAATTGTATGTTGATCTTTTGCGCAATCGATTTTGCTGTGTTCCTTCTTTCTTGTACTTTCATATATTAACCTTTTAATAAGTAGGAAGCCTTTGAAGTGAAATCATGTGCTCAATCCTACTCATTCATCAAAAGGTCACCGCTTAATCATTTTGTCCAGATCTGCACATGACTAATGTACTGATTCGATTTTCTGATCGGTTCGGTAGGCTTTCCGATCCGAAAATTCCGATTCAGTGCGAATGCACTTTCAGCTTAGTAGTTGTTACACATTAAGAATTTATAATTTCATCGTTTTACCAATGCATAACATTCATATCGTAAACAAACAACACTAGAAAGTAACATGGACTGCTGATACTCTTTACAGAGAGCTCTGGAAGTCTCTTCGAAACGCTATTCATAAAAACCTGGTCGGAAATTTGCTAATATTTTATATTGTTTTCATCGGTGGAATCCAACATGCAAAAGGAACGGTTAGCAT